TGTGTGTGTGTGCGTGTGTGAATTCAGAGGAGGATCTGCCAGTGAAGCCTCAGAAGGAATGGGTCCACATGAATAAACTGGAGCCAGAGAAGCTGGAGTGGATGAGAGACTTGCCTGCACCCAGAAGGAAAGGAACGAAGAAGGTAGGGAGATCTTTCTTACAATACTAATAAACGTTCATTCATTTCAACTCAAATCTTGTGCTGTGAAGCCAACATATTCTGTGGTTTCCTGACAGGCCATGCTGGCTCGGTTTGACTTTGCGGGGACCTTAATTCCACCCACTGAGGATCTGCCCACCCACTTAGGCCTGCACCACCATGGAGAGGAGCCTGAGGTCAGAATGCAACTTCTTTTATTAATATTATAACCTTTTTCACGTTGTGTCTTTAATGTGGTATTGGTCTTTGATTAGGTACTTCAGATTCCACCTGTAGTTTTAAATGTCTTCATGTCAAGTCAGGGTCATTTCAAACTTCAGACAAGGCTCTGTCTCTTTTTGGAAGTTATGATTTCATTCTTGACATTGAGGATCTCTCTCCAGCGGGCAGGTTACTCCCTGCAAGAACTCTTCCTGCTGTCCCGGAGTCAGATCATCCAGCAGAGGAGTCTGGCCCTCAGCATGCTGGCCAACATCCTCTCAAAGGTACGCAAACGCATACGGTGTCATGCATATCCGCAGAGGCACATGTATGCAGTCACTCATTTCTACTTCTTACCCTGTAGGCACGTGCTGGAGAGTACCTGTCTGTTCTGAAAGGCAGCGTGACGTCCACTCTGCTCGACGCCGGCCTGCTCTTCCTGCTCCGCTTTGCGTTGGACGACAGCGTGGAGGGAGCGATGTCCGCCGCTGTGCATGCACTTAAAGCACTACTTGTGTGTGCAGAGGATGAAGTAAGACAACTTGAAGCATTACATTAAAACGGAATATTACATTTTATCTCCAAAGACTCATAAGGTTTGGTTATGAAGTGATTCTGAGAAGCGCAGTACAGAACCACAGTAATGCTGACCAGTTACCACAAAATATGTCAGAAAAACAGGACTGAAAACTTGACTTGTATAAGATGTGATGCACGCTGGTTGTCTGTTACAGTTCTTCTAGTTCCTCTGGTTCATTTCCAAATTATTTTCCCTTCCCAGGAGTGTTTGGACTGCACCTTCTCTTGGTTTCGTGGCCTGGCTTCCTTCCCTCTGCTGCCTTCTGCGCAGGAGGAGGAAGAAG